GTGTTCACATGACAGTGAGACAGAGGGAGAGAGAGGAGAGGAAGGATAGAAATACGCAAGGTGTCTCTCCTTGATGCACCACAGCAGTTAGACTTGGTAGAGCTTGAGGGAATGAGGAATTGGGTATTCCTTCCTTTTAGATTAAGAGAATGAGAAATGGGGTATCCCTTCCTTTTAGATAGTTGGCATCTCTCATGAACAGAGCACAAACTTCTCTTCAAACTTTGTGTCTGCCAGGGTTTAGGGGACTTTGTGGCTTCCTGTGTCTGGAAGTAAATTCAGAATGTCAGAACTAACAAGGACATAGTGTATAGCACAGGGAATTATACTCAGTATCTTGTAATAACCTATAATGGAAAAGTATCTAAGAAATTTTATATATATATATATATATATACATGTATACACACACACACAAATGGATCATGTTGCTATAAACCTGAAACTATTAATAAAACAGTGTAAATCAACTGTATTTCAATAAAAAAATTTTTTTAAAGAAATATATCTAAGACACACACACACACACACACACACACACACACACACACATAAAAAGGAAATCAAGATACACTAGCTCTCTTACATAATCTTTTCTGCCAAGGTGCCTCACTGGGTCATCCCCTTCTCCCCAGCCCAGCAGAGGAGCTGGCTGCCTCTGTCCTCAGGCCGTTGAGCCGCTGCACTCAGTCTCCTGGTGGCCACTCTGTGACACTGGAGGGGGCTTCCTCCAAAGGGTTGCTCTCCTTTCACACCCTGGCTCTACACAGAAATCTATAATTTTCTCCCTCTTCTGTTTTCCAGTGATGACACACATTTCAGGGGTTGCGAAATTTGAATTAGATCTTGAACCTGGCTGCCTACTTTCAAAACAAGTTGATGCACTCACATTTTCTAGTTTGTGAGATTTGAGTGGTTTTACTAATACTGTTTTTATCTTAAAGAAACCATCAACTGACATTGGTACAGATATTTTAATGTCTTAATATTTTGTTTTGCAGTCATATTTTCCCCCAAAACAGGAAAGCTCCAACCATCTTTTATTCAGAACAGTTGGACCACTTTTTTAGCCCCACAGTCAGCTTATGATTGTTGGGTCAAGGCCATTCCAGACTCCAAACGGATTCATCTGGAAACTCTGTGATTCCTCTGTTCAGTCACCTCCCTTATTCCTTCTCATTCAAAGGCAAAACAAAAAACAAACAAAAAAAACACAACCTGGGAACAACAAAAGTTGGAATTCTCATTGACTCACAGGCAGTCAGTTACATCCATTTCTGAGAACACAGAAGTTGTTCTTCCAGGGAACACCTGCCCAGTTTTAAAGAGCAGAGCTAATGGGTGATCTCAGTCACTCTCCCTGGCCATCCCACAATCTCCCTAGAGATAGATTCCAGTATTCACAGAGGCTCAATTGCATATAAAGAAAGAATTGTTCATGAACGGTTTTCCAATTGCTCATACTGAGGCCCGACTTGTACTGCCTAACTGAAGGATTATAGAATTAGCACTGCATATGGTAAGTGGGCAACACAGAAGGATATGCGATCAGATTCTGACTTGAAATTTTGATACTTACCTCTGTGGCTAAGGCTAAGACTCTTGGATAATCTGAAGAAATACATAGGAAGAGAAAAAATATGATCAGATTAGCCCATATAAGAGCTGGTGGGTGCTTATTATAGGAATGTTTTTTCATAAGCCTAAGAAAATGGTCCATGATAATGCTGCTCATGTAGGTCAAGTGGCTGCTAAAAAAAGCAAACACTTTCTGTTTCAGAAGCAGACAACTAATCAATACTTTGATTTCTAATAGTCATGTTTGTCATGAGGACTTTTACAATGAGATTATGTAAGCAAATTGATTTCCCTGTTGACTTTATCAGAAAATCATCAAATGCCCCTGACTCTTCCCTCCAGAGTTCTCAAAAATACCTAAGATAATTTCTTCCCAGAAAATTATTTTCTGGATTTACTGATTTCCTGAAGCTCCTCCTGCAACATTTTATTATTGCTGTAAATAGATGAAAATTATAATTAAGACAGATAATGAATGTAATATAAGAGCATAGTAAGCACAGTTGTATATAATTAATTACCATATAGCCCCCTTTACTTCATTTATATTCATGTTGAAAGCACTTAACTGGGCATGTGTAATTGATTCACCATGGCATATATGATTGTTTTAACAAAAAGTTTCAGCTGAAGCTTTTGTTCAACAGGATAACTCCCTCATTCCACTGATTCTTTGGGAAAAATCAAATTAGCCCTATGTCATATCGCCTCTGGAACTGCATCCTGTTATAGGTGAACACTCTGCTTGTTGTAACTACAATAATGGAAGATGAGTCAGACTTTGTTTCTTCCTTCCCTTGTTTTTCCTGTATCCTTGATTTTTCCCAGAATCAACTTTCTATAGAATAAGTTTCCCTGAGCACCTTTTGTTCCATTCAATGACTTGGATACTCCAAGACTCCCAGATCTTTATAGTTGTCTTATCTTTTTCTTTTTTTTTTTTTTTTTAAGGCAAACACCTTACCACCTCTCTCAGTATTGCTCTTTAAAAAAAATAAAATAAAATAAACTTTGGAGCAGTTTTAATAGCCTATGAGAGCATTAAGGGCCTCCTGGGATGTTTGGTCTCATGACTGAAGAAGAAACAAGAGCCAACTGTTAGTCTCATGGTAATTTTGAGTGGCTCAATTATTTAGATGCTAACTCTCCTTTCAAAATGGCAAAATTTATGTCTGGCAAAAATATTAAATACAGAATGAAATGTAATAAAAACCTTTCCTGATTTAGTGCTATGTAGGAGACCTAGGTTTGATACCTGGGTTGGAAAGATCCCCTGGAAAAGGGAATGGCTACCCACTCCACTATTCTGGCCTGGAGAATCCCATGAACAGAGGAGCCTGGCAGGCTACAGTCCATGGGGTCATAAAGAGTCAGACACAACTGAGAGACAAAGCTCTTTTATGGTCAGTGAAGACCTATCTTCACACAAAAAAAGAAAAGGAAAAAAGCATATGTTTCCTAGGATCAGTCAGCATGCTTGTTGGGATGTCACCAGTGTAGTCAAGTCATCATAGGAAATCCTGTGTGTATCTGTGATGATCAGTGAGGCATGCACACACAGCTCTGCTAGGACCATCACACCAAGGCCTTACAGTTCAGCATTTGTCCTCAGTCACTTACTCTTAGAACCTGAACTTTTATTCTTCATGCTTTTTTGTTCCTTCTCAACCTACCTACATGTGAAAAATACTTTTTTCCCTCCTAATTGCTAACAGGCTTAACAGGTTATTTTATCTACAAGTTTCCTCCTTATCTCTCCCACATCCTCTTTGTGCCCTAGGAGCAGATAAATTCACTATCAGGTAATTATAGTCCATCATTTTCAGTATAAAACTTTCTGTTAAAGACTCTTGAAAGCACATCAAAGTGGAGCAATAGGCTGAATGAAACCATTAATAAAGAGTATTTGACTGAGCTTTTTAAAAAGTAAATTTTCCCATAGCAATGAGTGAGAGGCACATACAGAATAACTAAATGTATTTGTCAAATCTGTAGGGGTTAATCTGACAGGATGGGTTGGGGAAGAAATCGGTTGCTAGACAATATAATGTATCATACAATTAGATCATTTTAGATAAAGCTATTATTAAACAAATTCTTCTCAAACAAATACTACAGCCACAAAAAGTTTCTTCTTAATAGACATCAGGGGACCCTTTTATTCCTCCTCTGTTCCAACACAACCGTACTACATAACCATCACAGCTCTGCGTGGGTGACTTACTTCTAAAACCAATAGAACTTGGGCCAGAGTGGTTGGAACTTTAGTCTCTAGATGTGCTTAACAAGGGAAACCAGAAGTCTGAGCAGTTTTCTGTAAAACAGAAAATCAAAGGAAGCGAGGCAGATGATGTTAATGCGGGGGAAAATATCTGGCAAAGGAACTTGATATTATTCCTTCAATTATTTGTATTTTTAAAAAAGTGCAAATCCTTTTCATCTTTTAGATAGTGCATGCCTTGTGTTAGTCAAGAAAACTTAGGCTTTTTAAAAGTATGGTTAAGAAATTTGAAATTAAGTAATTGTCTAAAAATTCTAGTAAAGAAAGAATATGAATAAATCCTTGCAGTTTGTGATTAAGAAGTGAATTTCACCAGAAAAAAAAAATGTTCATTTGGATATATGAGCCAATGAAACACTAAAACTACAGAATTTTTCTCTGTGGAGTGAAGCTCTTCAATATAAGTATAAAAACCAGCCACAGAACATTTATGTACTGTGAAAAGTATAGTAGGCTGAAGAGTGGTACCTGAGGTTGCAGGTTTACATGGGGTCTTGATGGTTTGTGCCTGAACAGAAAGGTTCTAGGATGGGAAGACTCCAAATGTTAATACTGTAAGCACATTTTGTGATCGTAGAATTCTAGACACCCCACTAAGCCTGTAAAGCCAGTGTGCTCTAGATGGTTTCCCACCACCTTTCTGGAGAACCCAGTCCCTTCGTAAAGACTCTTCTATTGTATTTAGAGATAGAGGAACAGGAACATCCCATGACTTTTAGGACGGTAATAGTGTAAAAAGCAAGACTGTAAAATGAACTGCTTTCCTCCCCTTTCTACCTAATTTCTTTCTCCTGTGCTTTTAAAGACTAGGATGTCTCTTTCTGACTCCAGAACTCATGTTTCACTCAGAAAGTATACTTTGCAAATGTCCTGCATGTTCTAATTTGTATGATGGAAGGAGAAAAGAGCTCATCTGAGCACCAGTTTGACGCTGTTTTTTACTGCAGCAGTCTTTGGAAGCCAACCCCCCTTCCTTTTTGACTGTCTAAGATGCCCTCGCTAGCTAGATCCCTCTGCTAGCTACAGTGCACACATTTCCTTGTTAATCAGCTGCGTAGGCTCGGAAACTGTGTGTTTTGGTGTTGTCTGTGTGTGCAATCTCGTGCTGCTTCCTGAACGCATGTGTCCCTTCCCTTCACAGCCTACTCGACACCCAGCACCTCCCCCGCAAACCGATTCGTCAGTGTTGGACCACGGGATCCAAGCTTTGTAAATATCCCTCAACAGACACAGGTGGGCCGCTCTCATCTTTTCTGTATGTGGTGCAGCTTGTTTTATTCATCAGGTGCATTGTAACTCATCTTTCGCCACAACAGGCTGCGTTTCCCAGTCCCTGTTCGGTCCCCTTACCTCCCGACCCCCCCCCCCCACCTCACCCCCCACCTCGTCCGGGCCCTTCAGCCACCTTTCCACGTGTTCTCAGAAATCATGGAAAACAGTGCCTGCAATTTTTGTTTCTTGTATTGAGGGAGTAGAAGAGAGGGCTTCTGTGCCAGACCTGCTTTGGCTATGGGAAGAAAATTTTCCCAGGCTGGATAGAGTGTGCTCCCGCTTTTAGGAATCCGTGTCTCTGCGTGTGAGCAGACAGAAGTAGGCCCCTATTGAACCTGGAAAGTACACTCTGGTTGCCAGTGACATCAGAGTGCATGCTGGGAGTGGGGGGCCAGCCACTCTTCTGTACTCGTTATAGGGTCCCCAGGACCCTGACAGTCTTTCTAAGAGAAAGGAAAAGAAAGAGTTCCTGAGCCCTGTTAAGTTGCTGATATTGGTGCAGAAATAGGAGGTATTTGTTACGGGCTATGCTGGCCCCAGTGGGGTGGGAGGGGATGGATGTGAATTAATATCATGTTTTGAGGTAGTGATTGAAAAAAAAAAGAGTATGCCAGGACATCTAGAGTTTGTTTTTCAATAGATGTGTTTTGTGCTAGCATAGGTCAAGGAGAAAGTCTCTCTTTTAAAAGTTTTAAAATAGCTGCTGTGAATTGAGAAACAGTGAAAGACTTAGAATTCCAGGATAGTAGCTATAAAGATACTTAGAGATTTGTAAAATAGAATTAGATACAAGTTTTAGAAGAAGCTCCTCTCTCATTTCTTAACTAGAATGTGACTGTATATTATCAGAATTGACATAAAGAAAATGTTTTCCCTTTGAGGTTCTGTTCAACACAGTGTTTGAAAAAATTCTCCGAGATGTTCTGTGCATGTGCTGCGGTGTGTAATCTCCAGATGCCTAATTTCTAACTATTCATCTTTGTTTGTAACACTATGAGCAGGTGCTTATGAACAAAATAGATTTGCTTTCCTGGGTCCATTTGCTTTCTCTGTAAAGGATTTTAGTTTATTGCTGTGTCGACAGTGTGGGTTAAACAGCATTACGTCTGAAGCCTTCCTACACTGAAGCAGGGTCACAGAAAGTACAGCCTCGGAGGAGGCAGCTGTAAGGAGAGGGGAAGCAAAGAGGGGAGGAAGAAAGTTAACTCTTGAATTTCCCACTTCGGCTGTTTCTTATGAAACTGGCAAGGGAGGGAAGGGGGCGGGGGGGGGGCAGGTACACTGGCATCCAGGATTAACGTTGCCTATTCCATACTCCCCACAAAATTGTTCAAGTTTATTGCTTACTTTCCCACACCTTCAAATACTTAACTGCTGAATCTGAAGTTGAATAATTACCTCAGATGCATTAAAGTAGAACATTTCTTATTGTACATTTGGCTTACATGGTCAAATTCAATGAGAAGGGAAGAATTGGGGACAGTAGCTTTATATTGGATGATTTATTTTCTCAAAACACCAGTGGGCTCAGGTTACTTCATTAGGAACCTCAAAAATGCAGTTTGGAAATGCCCTGTTTGTATTTTGCATAGTATTTTAATATAAGCTGTGATTCACTGCACTGAAATTGTACCCTGCATTCCATTCAATTTGTTTCTCTATAATCAAAACGTGTTCTATTCCAATATGGCCTTGTTTCACAAATGCCTTATTTAACCCACAAACTGAGTCTTCATGATGTTGACCACAAAAATTCAATTCTTAAAATCCAGATTTTCTACGCATCTGGATGAATGATGTCATATAGGCCCAATATTGGCATCTGGAACTGAATTTTTTGAGTTTCTGTTAAATATTTGGCATCATAGGGACAACAGCTTAAATGTTTCTTATCACAGTGACACCTGCCACATTTGGCTTGGAGAAAGCCATCCCCAATTGTCTTATGAGAAACTGCACTAATGGAGTTATTCTTTTTCCCCAAAAATATATCCTGAGATAAAAATTATGTGCTCTAAATATTTTAATATTTAGATGTATATATTAACTCTTTTTTAAAAGAACTACTTTCTGGAACCATTTGGAAGGCATATATATAGATATAAATAATAAAAATAATATTTTAAAAATAATTTTTCTGAGAGGACATCAGTTAAGAAGAGGAATTTTTATAGGAATTTTTTAAGACATAATCTGAACATGACCTGCAGATTAGTAATTTCCTAGGCAAGCCTACATTTATTAATATAAGTATTTTTGTTAATAGGCATGAAATTTGTATTAATTGCATTATGGGAAAAGTTTTATGGGAAAACAAAATTTTGTATTCTGCCTTAAAGAAGTAAAAATTGAAGAGTCAGCCAAGCAGACACGTGAGCTTTATAAATGCAGAAAAGGTATCCTGCACAGAAATCCACAAACAAATACAAAATAAAATGGCCTCTCTTTTCCCCAAAGAAACCTCTTCAAATACTTGGAGCATCAGCCTGTGGAACACAGATGACTGAGCGACTGAACTGGACTGAACTGATGGTCCCTATTTCTTTCTAGTAGAATTTGAACTAATGAATAGACATTTGAAGTAGGCAGCTTTCAGTTTATCATAAGACCATTCCTTTAAAAAAAAATAAGTTACTTGATTACATATAGCCCCTATTTATTGAGCATTTTCTATGCACTAAGTACCTTAAGTACGTTATCCAACAAATCTTGACAGCCATCCATTAGGATATACATAATTATCTCCATTTTATAGATGTGAAACCTGAGATCTAAAGAGTGGTTGATTTTTCCAAGGCTGTACAGTGGGGAACGGAGCAAGAATGTGTCCCCAGTTCTGTCTGACTTCAAGACCTATGTTATCTAACTACTGTATTGTACTTATTGCCTTATAGAGTGATGAGCTACTTTTCCTGCAGATATTCAAACAGAGTCTGATGCTCAACTCTCAGGAATACCACTGGCATATTCCCTGGTTTTAAATCTGAGTTTGCTCTGATCAGAGATAGACTCTGATCATTAGAGCCTTGAAAGACTTGAAAGTCCGAAAGAATTGAAAACCAGGTCTCAAAGAGATATTTGTATAGCCATGTTTGTAGCAGCATTATTCACAATAGCTAAAAGAGTCAAGTAATCCAAGTGTCCATCAACAGATAAGTGGATAAACAAAACACGGCATATACGTTTTACTATGTGTATACCATTTTAATGTGGTATAATACATATTATCCAGCCTTGAAAACAAAAGAAATTCTGCAATATGTTGCAACATAGATGAACCTTGAAGACGTTATGCAAAGTGAAATAGGCTAGTCACAAAAGAACAAACACTGTACGATTCCACTTAATATGAAGTACCTAGTGTAGTCACATTCACAGAGACAGAAGGCAGAACCGTGGTTGCCAGGAGCTGGGGAGAGGGCAGAATCGACAGTTATTGTTTAGTGGTATAGAGTGTTCATTTTATAAGATGGAAAAAAGCTCTGAAGATGGATGGTGCATGATGTTGGTGTTACACAACAGTGTGAATGTCCTGCATGCCACTGAACTCTCTATGTAAAAATGGCTAAGATGGTAAAGTTTATGTACATTTTATCACAATTTTTAAATGTGATTATTAGATAAACTCTTAATGACCCTTTCACCTCTTGAGAGTCTGAAATTCTGTAAAACAGCCAGGCAGAGTGGACTGTTTATCAGAAAATAATCCACTGTCATTTTGTGCTGAGCTCTCTGAAAGCACTCGTTCTCATGTCCGGCACATAGTGGGTAGTCAGCAAATATGTGCTGAATCTAAATGATTCATAAGGAAGTTCAAAAATAATGACTTTTTCTTATTACTATCATGATACATGTTAACTGTGGAAAATACAGATGGGAAAAAAAAAATCTCTTGTAGTCCTACTGTTAACATTTCTGTCTAAATCCATCCAGACTGTTTCTATGCATACAAATATATTGCAAAAATGAGATCATATTATATACACTGTTTGGTAACCTGCTGTTTCTTCCCCCTTAACAATATATTATGGCCTTCTTTCCATGTAAATTGGAAAAATTGAATATTGGCTTTTATTGCACCTATTCATCATCTGTAATGATTGGTAGGGAAAGATAACATGGATAATTGAAAGCCATTTTTCCTCCTCCTTCCTTCCAGTCTATTTTTTTTTTCTCCAGAGAATTCCTCCCTTTGCTGAGACAGAATTGCCTTCTTTTTAGCCTTGCTCTGAGCTAGTTTTCTTTCAAACTGCCTTCCAATTGCATTGTATTAATATAATTCACCCCAGCTTTGGCTCTGTTGGGACATTCCTGCCAGGTTATCCATCCCATTCTTCTGCCTCACTTTTCTGCTACCTCTGCTATTATCATGACTTGCCTCCCCTTTTCCTGCTCCTCCATTTTATAACTCATCATTAACATGGGGGGTAGCCACCTCCAGACAGCTTTTAGAATACCCATCTGTTCTGAGAAAACACGACTACCCCAAATCTCTTTATTTTTCAGTATTGTCCCATGACAGTTGATAATAACATATAGAAATGACTCTGGGGCATAGAGTATTTACTTCACTTTGGACACTGTTAATGTCCCCTGCACTCCCACTGAATGACATGAGAGAGCATGCCATCATATCAAACAGCTGAAAGCCAATGACCATCTCAATTGCATCTCATAATTTAATCTGATCCCTGAAAACGAGAGCCATTAAAAAGAGGCATTTATTTAGAGAAAAAAAGTTAATATTTCATCATCAGGTAATAAATAGAAATACCAATTCCTACACAGAAGGACTGAGCAAAGAACTCATTTTCATTCAGGTTCCAGTTTAATCAGAATGTTCAAATAAAATGCTTAACCTGCAGATCGCCAGTGAGGACTAATTCTTTAAAATGAAAAATGAGCGCAAACAATATTAAAAACAGGCATTTCTTCCCTGCCACCCAAATCTATCACTGTTC